CATCTTTTGTACAACAGTTGATAAATCCGGGGCGTCGAAAATCGGCGGGAACTTTTCGGACGACCCAATATATAAAGCGGTAACTTTGCGTATTTGTTTGTATGTCGGTTTGTGCGTCCTTGCGAAAGTCACGTAGGCACGATGAAGAGTGTGAATGTCATGCGAGCGCTGTGAGGAAGCAGTTATGAATGGGAAATGCACTGATGCTAATTATATTGGTCCTCTAACAAGTAGTAAACATGCGGTTGTGGTATGTGATGCACCCGTTAGTGTGCCTAGTCCAGCTGTTATTCCAAAGAGCAATACCCACAAACGAGCACAACACTAGAGTGAACTGCATGGTATTCCAATTTTCATTTCCCCGCTCTCTCTGTGTGACGTTTCAAGCTGTTCAACTGACGCATTGTGGACTCGAGCCGATAAAAAAGGTGCACGTTCTCTTTATGTTTACCTTCCCCATCCCACTAAAACCATCCCGCCAACATTACTACAGTTTCTGAGCAGCACTACTCGAGCCTGAGAAAGCAGTGAAGTACCAGAACAAGTGCAGTAGAAAAAAGGGAACAAGGAAAAGTCGTCCCTGATAAGTATACCGTACTCTTGAAACTTTACCATTCAACCATCGTCTACCGAGAGAGTACAGTCGTCAGCAGCTACGTCCGTCCATTGAGTCGCACGCTCGCTGCTCCTGCCCGTCCTGTCTGTCGCCTCTGGGCCCGACACCTTCCGTCTACTAATGCGCTACTCGCCAGCCAATATCTATCAACATCGGCGACCGGACTGATCTCCATTTAACTCGAGCACTTATTTGATAAAAATGAAATGTCCATGGTGTTGCGTAGTATCAATATGGATCGATCGTACGGTAATCCCACACGCGATTACTCATAGCAGAGAGTCTCAACAGCCAGGAGGGAGGTAAGTAATCACTGTTCTGACTCTGTTTAGTTTTTTCAGGAAAATTGAGCATGATCAACGCTCTTTTCTTGAACGACCTTTTAGCCAAGAGCGGGCAGTATGGTCAGCCTACCGATTATAGTATAGTATTACTGGTGTTTATGTTCTGTACCCTCCGAATCCATCTCACTCTGTCTTCTCTTGTGGTGCCACACTCGTTGATGATTGTTGTGATATCTCATTTCTTCTGTGAGGAACGTTGCATTGGCCTATATTTGAAATATTGAATGATGATTTTATGATGACTTGATGTGTATTTCATGGCGTTTCTAGAGTGCCCGTGGCCTGCTAGACTTGACCGAGAACACCTGGTAAGGTAAGTACAGAATCGAGGGAATGGAGTGAACCTATGTTAGTAATCACGACGATACAGTAAGAATAGGTTCCGTCAATATCGAGTTTTAAGACTTTGAGGCGCACCTATTTTCCCTCAATAGATGAGAGTCCATGACAGGGGCATGAGCAAGCAGTCAAGATGTTATGATAACACGCAGGTTTTTTATGAGGAAACGCTTCAATTCGCTCCTTACATGATAGGCTACTATTGATGGATATGTTAAATGGCGATCGCCTGTTGGCGAGTTAAGAGAAACCTATTTAAACAATCTCAGATGTTTCTCCTCATTTTATTGGTCGTTTTATTATCGCAGATTTACACGTATCAAACCATTCTCGAATTTCCTGTATCGACGGCTCAAGGAGTCTTTACGCTGCATGAAAATATTTCCACGGTACAAGCGACTAGCTTTTCGCATAGCTTCTCACGTTTTGTTGCTGCAGACGAGCTCTGTTTACATAGATGTTAGTTCCTATGAGCTTGATCGGTTAACAAGTCCATGGCATTCCCCCACCCCCCGATTTCCCAGGTTTTTTCCTCGCCGCAAGCAACATCAAAGGAGTGTGCGAACTTTTTTCGAGCTCCATCAGATAGCAAGCAAAGTTCAATAGACACTCGCTTCAGATATACAATACAAACCATAAGCCGCACCCCTTCTGTGCGAAGTATATAAGCTTCACATCTACGCGTTGCATTACCCTATGCCGCGTACATGCAGTAAGTCGTCCTCCGTCGCTACTTCGGGATCGCCTTCGCCTCCGTCAATAGGGACTCCTGTCTTTGATCCCGAGCACGTCTCGCAAGGCAACGCAGATTCCTGGGCTGCTGATCTTGATCCAGAATCTGTTTCTTTCATATTAGACTCCTCATACTCTGTTTCCAGGAAACACAGCCGTGTGGCACGCCAAGGACGGCAGAACTCGACGAGATGCGACGTCTACAGCAATTGCCCAGGTGTGCTCTGGTGTGCGGTGTGCGAGTGTTGATGTCTGCGACCGAGAGACGCTTGGTCGCAGTCATCAGCACACACAGGGGATCAAAGAAAGTGATGCGTCTTCATCATTTAAACTGATCGAACCGTTTACGGCGGTACGGAACCGTAGAAACGAGATCCCGATGCTGGCCCAAGACCTGTTCTCTCCTCTGGTTCATCCGAGGATGGGACTCATTTTTCATATTGTTACGCCGACTGAAGGCCAATCTCCTCATAGACCACCTAGATGGGGTGACCCGCGAGAAAGTGGAGGAGCTTGACGATCGACGCCGTCATCGCTTAACTGAAGAACTTGTCTGTGAGTCCACATTTACGATACGAAGCTAGGCAAAAACTCTTAGTCTGTAAATAGGAGCCAGGGGAGTCCTCATCAACCCTCGCGAACCTTGTGCTTCACTTAGTCAGGTCAAGACTCAGCCTCACAGAAAGAAAAAGTCTTAGAAGAATTTGTCTCGCACATACAGGGGACAAGGGGGGACATACAGTATTTCGTTGAGCTGGACAACCCCCTCCTTCGACCAGGCGGTTACGAAAGCCCAGATAGCTGAACAGCTTATGTGTTAGGCTGCCGCTGAGCGACTCATTAACCCAGGTAGACCCGAAGTGTCAGTAAATGGATTGGATAAGGGGATTATCGGTCAGGTGCTTAGTAGACCTAATAATAGGAATGGTAATGTCCCAAGAAATTTTTGCAGGCTTGCGAGCGACGTGATCGCCGTTCTTTCCAGGTTAGCAACCCCCAATCTCAATGCTCACGCCGAGTCGAGCCTGGGTACGTCGACCGATGTTTCGACTGTGGAGGATTCGGCCATCGGGCGCGACAAAGTGCTTAACCATCTATATCAGGGACAGGAAGAGGGAAAAGGTCAGTTCTGCCTTGCTTCGTGCATGATTGTAAGCCCCTCCGATTCAGCGCGGAGACGAGCAGCTTATGGCTTGTGACGTCTCTTCTTCTCTTCCACTTAGCTCACTGTCCGCTGCTCAGCAGCGCATCGCAGATTTATCTCTTACCGTAGGCAAAACTCAGACTTAACTTAATAAATTCAAATCCACAATTGCCGCTTCAATCAAACGTAATGAAGAGCTCGCACGTTAGTAATAATTCACCTGCTTCATCTCATAGTCTTTGATCATCTGACATTCGTACCCTATTGATATGTACCATAACTTTTGCTTGCATCCTACTCTCGTCAGCATCGGTGGTTGTGTCCGACTGAAAATTCCACCGACTTGTTTTTCATGCCAAGCGCTTTCAATTGTTCATCTCTTTTTTCCAATTCTTCTGAGCATCCTTATCCACTCACGGTTCTCGTCTTCCGCCTTAATACTAAAGCTATTCTTTTTCTGGTTATCTATGCGAAGTGACTCGGAACTCGTTTCAGAATCATTCCTGAGTTACATTTGTTTATATCAGCCGAGGATGTAAACTAATGTCTCGTCATAAGCGATGCGTATGTATATGGCGAACTTTCCTCCTATGGTAACATTTGGAATACCACTTGATTCTCAAATTTGAGTTCCCTTCTGCTCCCTTCGGGTGTTACTCTACGCATACGAAGGTTACTTAAACAGTAGCGCTTGAGAGTCCTCGGCCAAATGCTTCTTCAGTTGTACTTTTTGATCATAACTCCTTTCTCACTTGATGTTATCACGCGAACTTTCAATATGAGTAGCATGGGTGCATGATGGGTACCTACCACTATAAACCTGCAATCTGATCATGGTTCAGATTTTCCAAAAAGCTTGAACACAAAGTCATCTGGAAATACGAATGATGGTCCTTTTGGAAGTTCTTTCTTTTTCCCATGTCTAAAGCGTACGAGCACTAATGCCGAGGAGAAGAAAAACGCACATAAGGTGCGAATAACTGCAGACGTCAATAACTTTGCATTTAGCGAAACTTGCTACCGCAACAAACACCTTGCTCCAGTTATGGGAGTATTGCTGCTTCGCAATAGAGTAGTGTTGGATAGTGTTGAATATGCTTTAGTTAAACATATCAAAATCTCGCGTGATTTGCCCCACTAAGAAGAAGGTATGAACGAAAAAGCCTGAGCGCTCGGCCGAATGGCTTTCTAATGGGTACCGTATAATTAAGTGAATCCAAGGCGTCTGCTCTTCCTTGGTCTGCTCGAAGCCCTATCCTTCTAGACTGTAGCATGCAATTGACCCGAACTGATGAAGGCCACGCAATAGCTCTTGTGCGTCGTGTCACTCATTCGGCAGAAGTTGGTCTTGTCACCTCCAACCAGCTGGCAGCTCACGACGCGGTGGCAACCTAATCCGCCACGCCGTCCAGGCTCTCTGTCAGCGTACTAATATTCTAATCCTAGTCATCACCCTCCACACAGCCCTTCGTCCCACACACACACACACACACAATGCGCAATCTTCTATCATAGCCGCACATCTAAGGCAGGGATACGTCCATATCCGACGCTGCTTCCGGCTTTCTTCTGCGTCGGTATCTCTAGTATCCCTTGACTTGGATCGACGTAGCACGCTTTCCTTGATACATCCACGGAAGTAGTCACTAGCAGAGCATCAATCATCGGCTGCAACGAAACAATGCCCTTCGTATTTTCCGCAAATGACAGCTCACAGCAATTCTCACCTATAGATAGTCAGCTTGGTTTTAACCAATTGGAGGGGAGCTCTGGAGGACACCCAGTATCAGGAAATAAGGACAATGAGGGATCAAGAATAGTTAATCAACCATATTGCTGCAAGTCGTCATTCCTCACATCCGGACACCTCTAGATCATTTCCAGGGGCAACATCCTTTCATCGTTGTCGTTCCCAAATCCTTCTCCTTCCTCGGGAGTTCTCGGGAAGGCCAAGCATATCCGCGAAATGAGCGCTTCCCAGGTGGAAAGAAATGCCGTCTCTTGATGTGTAATCCATTCAAATTTAGCTTTACCTAGGAGGGTACAGTGGGGCCGCCATGGCGGCGAACCCTTTGATAAATTTCCTGAAGGAGTTTACCTTACCTACGGACCCTTTTACCTCTTTTATGATAATGGGACGCGACAACTAATATCACGTTCCGCTGGGCGACAAGCGTTGTGAGAGATCTCAAGACCAAGAAACATGATATTTGACTGCGCTATTTCAGTCAGCTTGTTACCTGAAGCTTTGGTACTGACAACCAAAACCTTTCAAAAACTGCACGGAGTGAGCAAAGCGGGAGCGAGAAATGATCAGGTATGCTAATGTCGTTAAGTGGGCGGAAGTCCAAACAGACTCCTAACGATCCGTCCTACTTCTTGACGAAGACTGTATTATGCACCCAAGGCGTATCACTTTCGACGATGCGACCGGAACGGAGCAGCTTGTTATTGTCCTCGTCCAATTCCTTTTGAAAACGAGTCGGTATACGAGTCGGCCTATACCTTACCAGTGGTATCTCAGTGGTCGTCTTGATGACGATCAGAGAAAACTCATGGGATCCCAAGTCGTAGGAAGAAGTTGGGATACGGTCCTGAAACACGTCAAATAGATCATTCAGTTGCTGCCGTTGGGCATCGGTTACTCCGGCGCAAGATAGGTCAACATGAAAAAACGTGTTTCTCGAAGGGGAACAATCTACTCCGGTCTCGATTGCAGCTTCGTGTATCGGTGCGCTAAAACAACAGAGAAGACTCTAACAATGTGCTGCCCTCAGATTACTCGAGAGGGATGGTGAGGGCTAAACGTTGGCCCTACAAGATGACTTGTGTTGCCGCGGAGGGGTTGGCGACTAGCAGGCGATGGTACAGGGTATTGACGACGGTTAGGGACACGAACAAGGCACCTTCTCCGAAAACGCTTGACGAAGACAGAAAAGGGGTAGCGGCCTGAACGGTGTAGTTCGTAGCTCGGCACGATTACTTCCGTGCCGGGAGGAAGCGTTGTGGTATCCATGGCTCGTGCGACACCTATTCTTTAGGGTCGACTTGAGGAAGGAAACAGGTGAGAATTTCAACTGCGTCCAATGGACGAGGCGATTTTTGCAGTCAACGGACTATGGGTAGGCGACAAAGGGCATTAACAAGTATCAAAGCATGAAAATTTGCGCGGTCTAGTACGCACTGGCCCTCGGTGAAGTGCACCTTCTGCTTGAACACCTCGCTTCCTACCTGTAGGTCGACCATTACGCTGCCCACGAAAGTTACAGGTATCCCTGCCATACCTGTCGCGGAGGGTACGTCTGCTGCCTCAAGGTTGACAATTCCGATCGAGGCGAGAAGAAACTGACTGGCTACTGTTATGCCGGCACCGGAGGCCATTGGCACGGACCGGGTTTTGAGCGACGAAGAATGGATGGTCAACTGCGAGGACACACCTGTACCAGGACGGTAGAGGGCTGAGGGATCCGAGTAGTTTGCAAATGCTCTTTCCCGCCTCGGCGGCTTCGTCCATAACTGCTGCTCTTCTCTCTTTCAGATCTTCTTTTATCACTTCTCTGCATAGCTTCGCAAGTTCGGACGTTTGTTGATAATTGCCTGTAGCTCGCGCGACTCCACGTTGGCGTATCAGCTCGAGATTCTTCGAAGAGAGTCGTCTCTTGGCTACTTGTAGACTCTCTGCTTTCGTAGCACTATCGTGAAGATGCTCGACAAGCCGGTTGTATTCTTCGTCGATGTTGTCGAAAACGGAATCTTCCCATTTACACGCAAGGGAAGCGAAGTGGTCTCAGTTGGTGGAGGTCCTGGGGCTCCGTTTCCTGAACTTCATAGCTCTCTCCCCACGCACTGAAAAGCAGAATCTAGCGCAGAGGAGACGATGGTCCGATCCCGTACAGAACTTCGGAACAACAGCGACGTCAGTCAAGCAAAATCTCCAATTGAAGATGATGTGGTCTATTTCATTATGGAGCTGTCCACCAGGTGACTCCCATTTCCATCTTAAATGAGAGGGCTTCTGGAACTGCGAGTTATCATGGATGGTGTGGGTCGACATGATAAACTCGGATAGCCTTTCACCCTGCTCATTCCATTCCACTCCGTGAGTCCCGATGTGAAGCTCTTCAGCCGTTCTTCTGGGGCCAATTTTGGCGTAAAAATCACCGACGATGACCTTGAAGAAAGTGTGGTCTTCTCTGTAGAGCCTCTCTAGATCCATATAAAACGCTTCCAACTCCTCTTCTTCGTAACTCGATGTTGGTGCGTAAGCAACAAAGATGGTTAGAGCTGGAGTTGAGCCGCATCTTCTTAGTCGCAAACGTTCGATTCGAGTTGTTAAGCTTTCGTACGGACCGAGGTTCATGGCAAAGTGCGTGTCGACGAGGACACCTACACCGCCGACGCCTCTGCTGTCGCATGTTGCAAGAAGTAGCTCCTCTTTAGTTTCAAACACACCGTGCAGCAGACGATGCCTTCTCGTCTCGGTCAGTCCGATGATGTCGCGCGTCATCTTCCTAGCTTGCATCATCAAGTCTTCTATTTACGCATCCGATGCAGGCGTCCGTGCCTTGAGAGTACAGATCGTCATCTTACAAGGGAAGGATACTTGGTCGCAGTGGCCATTCGAGATAAGATGTATACCCCCGTAGGTGGTTTCGAACACTGATCTCAAATCTGTATTCCAAATCTGCGAAACGATTCTGGGAACAAAGTTACGGGCCCGGGGCCTCCCTGTGTTGTACCACTGCGCTGANTTGTAAGGATGAGTTATCATAAATTTATAATAATAAAGGAGTTCCATTGCACGACAGTCATTTCCAGTAGAAACCGCTTCAAATCAACAATGAAGGCTCATAGGAGTAAAATTCAGAGCAATTCACAGGTGGATACAGGATTTTGAGGGCAGCCGTGGTACCATGCCCCAGCGCTCCACCACGCTTACCTCATGAAAGCGCCTCTTGGAGGGACATTTACCCCTGAATAGAATCAACGGATAATCATATGTGCACACAAAGAGATAAACTATTGTTCTACAGTATTTTTTCAACAATGCCAGTTAACTTGTACCACCCCTTCGAAAGCGCGGGTACCTTTCCTAGAATCTGTGGGCCGTATCTCTCCCAAAGAGGGCTCTGGTCGGATGAGTCATTCGACCGAAGCCTACCGTAAGTACGGGGAGCTGCCGAAGATTTCAAACACCATCTCGACTGTTCAGGGTAGAGATACGTATGCATATATTCGGCCAATAGCGGTAGGAAAAATTTTTATTGGATTACTATTCCCCGGATTCCTAAATTGTGAGGGAACCCTGTAGACGCCCAACATTGAGCCCAAAAACGTTTTGCAAGCGTTTAGGACTCATTTTTTGGAAAAGCAAAACGAGCCCATGCATCAAGGAATCGAACCTTGATGTCATGCCTATCAGCCCACCATACTATCCCCCCGGCCACCGTTGCATAGTTAAGGACTTTGCTCGGCTCGGTGATCCGTTCAGCGCAGTGGTATAACACAGGGAGGCCCCGGGCCCGTAACTTTGTTCCCAGAATCGTTTCGCAGATTTGGAATACAGATTTGAGATCAGTGTTCGAAACCACCTACGGGGGTATACATCTCATCTTGAATGGCCACTGCGACCAAGTATCCTTCCCTTGTTAGTCCTTCTCCTCTTGGGCCGCCTGTTTTGGCCCTGAGCTTTTAGCAGCCTCTCCCGAGCGGTCCTACCCAACGCTGCCATATTGGGGGCTCAGGGGAATGAGGCCCATTTCATTACTGTCTTTGGCCAGTAGATACACGACGTGCAGCTTGCCAGGCTCTGACCAGGGGGCTAGGTTGACTCCGAGGGCTTGCCAGGCTATCCAGAAGTTGACCAGGTTACCAACTGCACCCATAGACTTTCCACACACGGACGCGTGGATACACCTGCAAGAAACAGATGGTATATCGACCCAGCACAGCAGAGTCAAGGAGTCCATCTCCTAAATCCACCGTCTCTGGGCAAGTACCGTTGACTTTTGGTCGGCAATTAGTTCCCCTATCTGCCACCTGGGGACGCCCTACGTAGCCTCGTCACTAACCGGCTGGGAATCGTAGTGGCAGTGCTCTCCCTCTCCAGGTGAGATATGAGGGTTTGCTCCTGGTTGTCGGTTTCGCTTTTGCAAAACGTGCTTCCATCCGTACAAAAGCTCCTAAACCATTTCTCTTACTAATTTAATTTGGTGCTTTATTACGTCTGTCATTTGCGATCACCTATCTATCACATAGGTCACTGCACATATTTTAAATTTCTCCACATCATTTCTGTAAGGCTCGCTCATTTTTAACACAGAAACACACATACCCACGAACAAAGTGAAATAGTCTTGGACACGCGAGAAAACACAACATCGATGAAACAACCC